ATTGTATCATGTTCCATTTTAAAAAATTCACCTGGAGTTTTAAATCCAATAGCAGTCACTTCAATTGGTTCTGAGCCAAAAATATTTCGAGCAGCATTAATGGGATAAACACCCAAATCTGGAATTGGACCACAATCAAAACCTAAATATCAAACGAACTTTTTCTCTTCTAGAATTGAATGTTTTATTTTATATCACTTTTGATAAAATGGCATTTTAAAAAGAAAAAATAATTACCTTCTTTAGCACGATGATTTTCTGGTTTTATATGATTAGTGAAAACTGATGAGAAAATTCGAGGATCACCAAAATCTCCTTTTCGGATACGATCAATGATATCAAGTGTTCCAGGTTCATGATGAAGACGATAAGCTATCATTAATTTAGCACCACTTTTCTTTTGAGCAGCCAAAATAGCTTCACAATCTTCGATTGTAACTTCCATTGGTTTCTCAAGTAAAACATGATAACCTACAATAATTAATCAATTTACTAATTATTCATATGAATTTACAATAAACCTTTCTCAAGAGCTGGAATGGCAAATTTTCCATGTTGATTATTTGGTGTAGCAATATAAAATGCATCACATTGGCCTTCTTCGAGTGCCTGTGAGAATTGATCATATGAATAACATTTTAAATTATATTCTTTTCCTAATTTTTCACGTTTTTCTGCATCATTACTGATTAATACAGTTAATACTAGAATGGACAAAAAAATGCAAATGTTATCTTTTCATTTGATGTAAACTATTAACAAATGTATTACCTGAATTCGATGTTTGTCCAACACCTGGCATAAATGAACTTTGACTAATCCATCCAGCAGCTACAACACCATAACGAACTTTAGGTCCAACAGGTTTTCGACCAAAAGGTGTGTCAACAGTAGTTTTAACTGTATCCATAATTTTTCTTTTTAAATTTATTGAATAAATACTGACGAATGAAGGAAATGACAAATTTTTATATATATGTGGCGTTTTTTGCAAAATAAGAGTGACGAATCAAAATGTGATATGAATAGAAAGTGATATATATATTGTCGTACACGGTACGTTGACTTTTTCTTTTCTCTGACAAAAGAACATCACCACATGCCTTCACAGTGCTTTAGCTATTTGTGTTGATTGTATTATTCGTTTGCAATCTCTTTCTTTTTTTTCCGTTCTTCTCACATTATCAAAGGAGACACTTTATGATGTACGTTTACAAGATAGAGTGTGGAGAAAAAGCGTTTTTTTTTTGTGTTTGAGCCCTTGTGGCAAACACAGCACATTCTTATCAATAACACGTTAATACGCGGTGAAAGCAACTTTAAACGCATCTACGTTCGTTTACAGATATTATGTCATACAAAGAACTGGGTGTGGGTGTGGGTGAGGGTGTGGGGTAGACCCCGTCGGGTCCAGAATTTTTGGACTCGGACCCGGATCCTCGTCCAGGATTTTTTTTACCCGGGCCCCATCATTTAAAATTTTTCTACCCGGAGCCGGACCCGGTCGCTTAAATTTTTTGGATCCAAACACAATGACGAGTCAGTTTAGATAGTATAGTCAAGAAGGGTTTTGTTGTTTTTTATCTATTTTCTAAATACATTTGATTTCTTCTTTGTACAAAACGAACAAAACTTTAAAAAAATTTAAAATAAATTGTATGGATGAAAGTTTCCTTCAGACCTGGACCCGACCCGGACCCGGTCAACGCAAAATTTTCAGACCCGGACTCGAACCCGAACCCGGTCAAAATAAAATTTTTGGACCCGGACCCATTCGGATCCGGGTCTTAACTGACGGGATCTAGTGTGGGGTGTGGGGTTTGGGTGTGGCTGTGGCTGTGGGTCTTCTGCTGAGTCACACCCACAGCCACAGCCACACCCACACCCACACCCTACAGATTCATAAGATCTTAGGTATAGATTTTTAAGATCTTAGGTGTAGATTCGTAAGATCTGAGTACATACTAAGATAAAAAGTGTTGGAGGTATCGTGATTTACGACGCAATCCGTGGTACAATCTGAAAGCGTGATTCAAACCTATCATACAACACATTTATTTTTTTTTCTGTAAAAGCATGCTATGAAATTTTTTCAATTTACACTCATTTTAATTATTCCTATTTTGAATAATTGAAGCAAGCCCGATCTTGAAACCTGCCTGTTCTTGAGATAGTTCGATCTCCATCAGACGGCTTCAGGTAGTCCTCTCTCGATCAGCGATCGAGATCAGCAATTTCTCGAGAAAGAGTTTAGAAAAAAAATTATTTTGAAAAATCTATGTTTCTTATGTTCAATCACGTTGTTTATATACGGCTCTGTATGCATAAAAAAACCGGTGAATGACTAGTCAGTATGTAACCAATAAACTAATGATGTCGCTTTTTGTTTTTTCAAGATCTTGTGAGAAGATAATAGTGAATGATATAATTTTCATGATCTTAACAAGATCTTAAACACAGATTTATCTGATAGACCCAAGATATGCACATACAAATTATCTTTTCAAATTCTTCTTAAGATCTTGCTTATCGGTCCCAAAATTTCAAGATCTGGCTTACAAGATGTTCGACTAGGGCAAATATTTTTCTGGTATGTGACTTTTGAGACACCCTGTATATGATAGATTCCGCTTTCGCCTTTGATAGTGGAAAATTCTCGAATTTGTTATGTGATTTTTAGATCACGTTTTATTCTTCCAGCATCTTCGTATCCTGGTATATCGCTAAGAGTCAGTGTGATAAACTGTAATTCAACTCATCTGACTTTTAGCTTGACGTTTTGCTACTCCTTTTTCCTCTTCATCTTCTTCAGTGATTAGTTTTCAACGAAAACTCTCATCTCATTGTACTCCTTAATATTAACTAAAGACAGCATTTATTATCGTCGTTTTACCAGTACCTGTAACGCCTAAAATCATATAAGTTCTCTCTGTCGAATAGTTACCATGAACGAGAATTCGTTGACCCATGTGCTACGGGCTCGTCCTTCACAGCGTTTCCACTCTATTTCACTTCTCTAGGTCTCTTTCATTTTTCTTTTTTCTTTTCCTTTCTGATAGTTATATCGTTTGTAACTGACTATATTTCTTTGATCTATGATGACTAGATATACCTTTTCTTTGTTATGTGATATCATGATATCTAGTCATATATACATGTTTTCCCTAGATAGTAGAATATATATATATATGTGTGTTTGCGGACATTTCTCAGTCGAGTTGAGAGTGTGGTCAGATATGTTTGAATAAAATAAAGAAACGAAAAAAGAATAAATAAACCTTCTTTACATTTCCCTAATAACATGTAACATTTTCTTAAACAATTTTTTGCACTAATGATTTGTTCTTGAAATGCAATTTTACAAAGTCTAGGATATCTTTCTTACCCGATACGAAATAAGTGCTCATATTGCACCTTTACGTTTCGAACATAAAAACACTTATATTTTAACTTCTACTTAACGAATTTGAACATTTTTTTCCAATGCTCCTAAACTTCTATCGTAATTAGCGCGAAAATATAAATTCTTTTAACTGCAATAGCTACGGAGTTTCCAAGCAACTAAAGTAAAAAAATTAGTGCTTTTTCGCACCATCTATCAGCAAACATTACTATTGAGTCTGACAATTTTGATTGGATAAAATAATTTTTTAGAACTATTTTGTAGCTATGACTTTTCCCATTTCTTACCATATAAATCGATGACAATCTGGTTTCAATTGAGTGTGAGTGTGGGGTGTTTTATTATCATCTTTAGCAGACCATTCGATAGAACTGAAATGGAAATTACAGCATCCAAAAACACCACATTCAAGAGAAAACAGCATTTTACCCTAGAAATGGACCAACAAATTTCTTTTTATATCGAAACGTCTCACTAGATTTTAATAATATTTATTTAAAGGAAAAAAAAAGTTAATTTCACCTTTTTCTAATTCAATCGACTTTTCTTGAATCCAGAAACGTTTTTGCAGATATTTACTAACATTCGCATATCATTGATGATTCTAGTTCTCATTGTGATCGTGAACGAATATTAAAAAGAGCTCAGTCGCACAGCTCATTCCTCGAAAAGAATGCCGACAATCGCTTTATTCCATTGCATCTACGTGCACTTGTACGGATAAAGTTCTGTACATGCTGGCTAGATTCTCTTTTTCAAAATAATTCAATGGATGTAAGAGAAAACTATAAAAAAATACGTTGATTTAGAATTTTTATTTTATTAATAAATCTTGGAACATTCATTTACTTAGAAAACTCGATTTCGTCCTATGTGAAAAACTGACACCTAGGAAAATACTTGACTTATACATACAATAAATGGCGTTCTATCGAATATGCGACTCAAAATTTTCTCCATATATACTTTGATTTTTTTTCTTCGAACTATACAATGCCTAGCCAATGCAATTCACCTATATACTATGTGTTCGGTTTACTTTGTTTACAAATAAAACGAAGGTTTCAGATATCTGATTTTATAATAGTAATAACTGAATTAATAGAGTAGTTACGTATGTTTTTTTTTATATGAATAAATACAACAATCAATTCTCTTCTCCATAATACATAATCAAAAATTTTAGTTTTTGAAAGAGAGATAGCTCTAAAGCGTTCGCTTTATCGACCTTGATTCTATATTATATACAAAAATATATCATGATTATTATTCATGATTTTTCTACACATAAATATTAATTGAACTCTTTTTTCTTTTTTTTTTTCATTTTAAGATTACAACATGAAAGTAGAAAAGTTTGTTCATAGAAAATAATTAGATGAATTGACTTCGTCAACAATTCTTTTTTTTTTTTAATGTTTTTGTTTCATATGTGAATATAAATTGTCGGTCGGTCAACATTTCATTTGCTCTTATCGTCAAATGTGCTCATAACATATTGATTTTCGACTAAAAAAAATATTCTCTCGCGATAATTTTTATTATTTAATTTATTGTTTATTGGAACAAAATTCAATCGTATGATTTATTTCTAAAAATGAATTCACATACACATATTGAAGATTTATCAAATGAGATATTCTTCGAAATATTTGATTATTTACATGCATTAGATATTTTTACTGCTTTTAATTCATTAAATAAAAGAATTTCATCCATTTTACAAATAATTCCACTTCGTATTCTTATATCCTATGATCATTGTTATCGTCAAATTAATTTTCTTTCTTCATATCTTAATTTTCATTCTCATCAAGTTATTTCAATAAAAATTTATGATACAATTCGTGATTATTCATCTATTATTAATTTATTATTTAATCGACATTATTTTATTAATCTTCAATCATGTATATTTTTTTCAATTAAGCCTTCAACAAAACTTGAAAATGTTATTAAACAATTAAAACATCTAAATAGACTTGTTTCATTTAGTATTCGTCAACCACGTCAGAAAAATCTAAATGAAAATGATAAAGATGATTTAATTCGAACATTATTTATGCATAAGTCATCTTTTCTTCGTTCAATTATTTTTCAATTTCCTTATAATTACTTAAATATATCAAATTATAATTCAATATCTTCGAATATTTTATCACTTCTTTTATGGATTTCTGGTTCACCATCAACCCTATCTGTTTATTCAATTTTACCAATTCTTCGACTTTGTTATACAATTCGATATTTGACTATAGCAATAGAACATGAGGATTCACTTGAAAATAATCATATCAAGTAAGTTATTCAATTGAAAATAAAAAAACAAAATAATATATTTTTTTTTTGTTTTAGTTTTTCAATTCAACCACCATTGATTAATGAAAATCTTCTTCCTACATTATCACAAGTGAAATCTTTTTATTTAGCAAGTCTTGCTAGATGTGATATACGTTCAATTTCTTATATATTACGTTGTATGCCTAATCTTATTCATTTTAATTTTAATCTCATGATACCAAGTGCAATATGGCCATTTCCTCATGAATTGCTCAATGGTTATGTATGGCAACAAATGTTAGAATTTTATATTCCATGTTTATCGAAATTTGAATTTCATATGTCGATTATAAAAAGATATCCAAAATTAGATTTAGATTTTGTTGTCCATTCATTTGAATATTTTTCTCAAAAATATCCTAATTGGAATATGATTATCGATCGATGGAGACTTTATCGTGGAAATCCAGGTAAATTAAGTTGAAAAAAAAACTTAAGTTGCCTCTCTTTCCAGGCATGAAAATCAAAAGTTTTTCGATTTTTAGTTTTTCATAGCTAATGTAGCTGTTAATTCTCCTCTGTCAAACGTCATATAAACGAGGATTAGTTAGTACGTTTATTAAATTCAATTTTGAAAAGCTTGCAGACAAGAATCCACACTGATTATTCTATTTTATAAAAATTCTCGTAAAGATAATCTGTGTTTCTCATTCTAAAGGTTCTTAGAGTCATGGGTCATGGACCCCTAACATCACTGAACATGGCTAATTTTCGATCAATTTAGTTGAAAAAAAAACGTCCTAATAGATAGAGGAAAACTTTTTTCTTTTTTCTTGAAATCGGCTTTTCCACAAAAAGAATATAGAATCGCTGCTGTTTCTAAGGCACTGTACATTAGAGCCCGTCGGGTCCAAGAATATCTGGACCCGAACCCGCTCGAGTAAAATATTTTGGATCCGGACCCGGTTGATAGATTTTTTGGGACCTGGACCCGGTCAATAAATTTTTTTTGGATCCGGACTCGGACCCGATCGATCAAAATTGTTGAATTCGGACCTAATTGATTGATCTTTTCTAGGTAGAGCCTATCGGGTTCAAGAATTTTTAGACCCGAACCCGCTAGATTATATTTTTTTGGGCCCGAACTCAATCGGATCCGGGTCCGGGACCAACCCGACGGGCTCTACTGTACATTCTATGGAGCTAAAACTTTTCCTACAAGTACTAGGTAGTATTTCAGGTGCCTAATTTTTTGTTTTGAGAAATATTGCACTTTTGATTTTTAGCTGATTTTACAAGAAAAAAACCATATTTTTGGAGGTATGTTCAACATTTTGTTTTTTTTTGAATGGAAGGAGATAAAAAGAAACCTGAAAAATGGAGGTACTTCAAATGATGTCTAGTATCTGCAGAAAATAAAGTTTCAGCTCTATCGGATGTATTACGACTGAGAAAGTGGGACGATTAAACTAAAACATTAGAAGAGTAATTATTCTCTTTCTGAATTTGTACTTTTAAACTATACTGAAAATTCTTCTATTCATTGTTAAAAAGTAAATGATGATAAAATATTTTTACTGATTTAAAACGTTAATTATTTTTTAATAATTTCAGAAAAAATTGATTTTGTTAATATTTAAAGATCTATTTCTTTTAGAAGAAGTGATCTTGTTACGAACATTGAACTATCATAAACAGAAATTAAATGGAAACGTAAATGTTCCTTTGATTTGTTGTGCATCATTTGATACACGATCAACAACAACAACAAATGATCATCATCTTTTTTATTCAAATGTAACAGAATTAAGATTATTGATGATAAACAGAAGACAAATATTTACTTGGTCTTGTCCTTTATTTCAACAAATCAAATATCTCATCATACGAATGCCAGCAAGACGTTCATTATTATGGAACAATCTATTGAATATTGGTAAGAGAGAGATCTATATTCGTTTCTTTAAGAAAAATAATTAAGTCGGCTGACTGCACGAAGTGCTGGCAGAGCCGACTTATTGCTTTTCACCCGCTTAGTTGCCATGGTAAATTCTTCTTCTTCTCTTTCTCGACGCATGAGTCACGGATCAAGTCAGCCATTCTTTCTCAGTACCTGAGCATCTTTTTGAACTGGAAAAAAGCTTGCTGAGATCGTGAGAACGTGACAAGTGCACATCTGAAATTCGTTTTTCAAAATTCCATTCCGTTTGTGGGATAATAAATATATGTAAAACAATAATTAACAGCTGCTAGTTTCATTATATGGTATTGTATGATTCAACCTGAAATGACCATTAATATCTCAGATGTTCAATGCATATACAATTTAATTATCGTCTTATGTGACTTAAATTCATCCAAGAAAGAGTCTCGAGCAATCAAGAAAATCTGACCATGGTTTATATAGATGAAATGAGCAATATGATAATGAACAGCTGAATGTTTCCTTATATAGCAATAGCTGATCACATTCATTATCTCTCACTTGTCAGCTGAGTGAACACAGCTGAACTCGACTTAAATTCATTATGATTTTCTTTAGGGACGGCTACGATCTTGAAAATAGCAGATGTCATATACACTCCTGTTTTGATATTTTTCGGGCTTGTGCAGTCAGCCGCCTTATCTGCTCGAGCTTCGCTCGAGTGGAGGTCTAGTTACTTTTCACTCGCTTAGTTGCCATGGTTATTCTTCTGCCTTCTTCTTCTTCTCAACACATGAGTCACGATTCAAGTCAGCCACTCGTTCTCAGCTTCCAAGCATCATTTTGAGTCGAAAAAAGCTTGGCGGGATCCTGAGAACGTGACGAGTGCATATCTAAAATCCGTTTTACGAAATTCGGCACCGTTCGGGAGACACGACAAAGCCGAAAATGATAATTAACAGCTGAGAAATTCCCTATATAGCGATGCATGATTCAATCTTAGGTGACCATTCATAGCTTAGATATCAAATGCATATATATTTTAATTATCGTCTTCTGAGAGATAAAATCGTTCACCACGAAGTCTCGAACATTGAAAAATATTTTCGAATGGCTTATATAAACTAGACCTCTACCCGGCCCAAGGCCGGCTAGAAAAGTCGGCTGACTGCAGAGCCCGAAAAATATCAAAATCTGGTCCTATACGACATCTACTATTTCTATACCCAAGAGTTGTGTAGAGGAAATCATAATGAATCTGAATCGTAGATTTCCATATAAGGAAGCTCTCAGCTGTTCATTATCGTTCATCATCTCATCTGTATAAACCATAAAGAGATTTTTTTAAATGCTTGAGACTTCTTCGTGGATGAATTTCAGCTATGCAAAACGATAATTAAAGTATATATGCACATAAGATCTCAGATATGAATGGTCTTTTAAGACTGAGTCATGCATAACCATATAAGGAAAATAACAGCTGTCAATTATCATTTTTGGCATGATTTATATCTCCTGAACGCTGCCGAATTTCGAAAAACGGATTTCAGATGTGCACTCGTCACATTCTCAGGATCTTGGCAAGCTTCTTTCCGACTAAAAATGATACTCAGGAGCTGAGAACGAGTGGCTGACTTGAATCGTGACTCATGTGTTGAGAAGAAGAAGAAGAAGAAGAATTTGCCATGGCAACTAAGCGAGTGAAAAGCAATAAGTCGGCTTTGACTGCACTTCGTGCAGTCAGCCGACTTAATGAGATGCGAAGAACGATAATGAACAATTGAATGTTTCCTTATATAGCAATAGCTGATTCAGATTCATTATTTTTCACTAGCCAGCCGAGCCAAGATATGTGAACGCGAACAAAATTCATTATGACTTCCTCTACAGTATTCTATGATTCAAAAATAGCAGATGTCGTTTACAATGGTATTCTGATATTTTTGGGGCTCATGCAGTCAGCCGACATTCCATCCAGCGCGGAGCGCTGAATGGCAGTCTAGTTCATTTTTCTATAAAATATAAACGAATTTTATTTCTTTTTTTAGTTAATTTTCTTGAAACAAATAATAATAGTGATGCACAACAAAGTGTTAATTGTTTATCACATTTTGTTCATTTATCCAATATAACTCAAATAGAATTTCTATTGTCGTTTGGTACATCTCGATGTCAAGATATTCAATTTATATTACAGTAAATATACTTTATATTTATTAAAGAAATATTTCATTTTTTTTCCGCATTCTTGAAGAAAATCTAATTAGTAGAGATGATATAAATCGATTATATTATATTTAAAAGAATAAGAATTTCTATTTTAAATAAATGATTCTGTTCTACATTTAGAGCATGTCCAAATGTGATGGATCTTATAATTAGTACTGAATATTTACTTTCATGAAAATTAATTGATAATAAATATCTTATTTCAATCTTCAAACAAATTAAAATGATTAAATCAATAACAGAAAATATTTATTTTCCTTTAAATTTTGTATCAAAACTGATTGAACGTTTTCCATCACTTCATCACATTGAACTTCAAGTTTTTTCATTTGATAATTGTGTACATCTTATTGAGAGATTTCTTACTCATTTGACAAATTTATCTTATCTTAAAATTAATTATAAACATGATACATTACTCGATGATCCTTTTACATGTGATTATCTTATTAAAAAACGTCGTCAAACATTTCCTAATCATATTTTCAATGAACAAAGAATTAATGTTAAAAATAATGGAGAAACTATAGAAATTTGGTTATCATGATTTTTTATGTATATATATAGATTTTTTTTTTATTATTATTGTTGTGTAAGTATGAATGAAATAAACAGATCTTTAGATTATTGTTTTTTGTTTCTCTACAAACATCGATTATTTCTCATTGATTATATAATATTCAAGAGTAGAATAATGGAAAAGTAAGTTTGAATTGATGAGCTATGTATCATTTTAGATGAAAAATAATGAGAAAAAAAAGATGAAATTTGTTTTTTTTGCTTTTCAAACTGAGCGAATAAGGAAAACAATGCTTTTTAACATTTGACTCATTTGTTTTTCTAGCGTTAATTTTTTTTATAGAATGATATTGGAGGTGTAAATCGATCAGTAAAATGACTTCTATAGAATTTAAATGAGACTAAAAACGATCAAGATTTAGTACTAAATAAGAAAATAAAAAAATTGTATGCAAAAAATACTTTAACTTTAAACTCAAAGTTAAAGCGACATATCTAAAAAAAAGCGCATCTGTAGATATTACATATTGTTCTTCAAAAGTAAGAATAAGAGAAAAATCATTGAGAAGGGATCAATAAAAACAAAGAAAACAAAAGAAAATTTGTAAAACATCGAGATAAACAAACCGAATTTCTCGAAAGTTTGGAGCGGAGGACGACTCTCCCGGCTCCTCACACCCTTGACTTTTAACCTTCTGTGGTTCTCATTGTGTCTACTCAGAAATCATGTTATCACCTTTTAGGTCATTTCACAATTCCTTGTGACGGAAAGTGATCTTTTCGAGAGCCGTGAGTATGATTAGAGCCCTGCAGGATATAGATAGTCTGCCATGACAGGGCAGATCGTAGTGTACGAGTGTCGTTGCCTGTCAACCTGCAACTAATTTTACACATTAGATATTATCGAAATCTTTTCTAAAGTTATACAATAAGAAAAAGCGAATTGACAACCAAATTAGATTGATCTCAAAGAAGATATTCAATAAAACCAGATGTTTCATTAATCTATTATTTATACTTATAGAAACTCAAATGTACATTTAGTTTTCTAATTTTGAGTTCTATCTTATTTTTCGAATATGATAATTGAAACAATTGGTGTTTAAAAAGAACATTCATCTGTAATATCTACAATAAAGTTTAACATTGCCAATATAGCGTCAAAAAAACAAAAAAAGAAAAACAATTTAGTCATATGAAATGATATTATGCAAGAATTTGCAGAAGAATTGTGATTATAATTCTAATGAAATTGGTCGTTATTAGGCCCCGACAAGTTCGGCTCAAGCTCAGAGCTGATGAGCTGGTCGAAACGCTCACTGGCACGAGCTAAGCTGTTCGAACAGCTCATTGCAAGTGAGCTGAACCTTTCGAACAGCTCACTTGAGCGAACTGAGCTTTCACAGCAGTTCGTCCCAAAGGAACTGAACCACTTCAACGGTTCTTTTGAATGAACTGAACTTTCTGAACAGCTCTTCCCGAATGAACTGAGGTTCAGGTTTAAATACATACTGTCTTATACGGGTACCCGTAGGTCTTCAAGTCCTACTATTGATGGGTATCCTGGGTCCTCAAGTCCTGCTTTAGGGAGATACCTTGGATCCTCAAGGCCTACTATACTACTCGTTGTTCGCACAATAAGACAGGGAAGGCCACCTCAAATCTGACTGTTCCAATCTTCGACCAATCTGATCTCAGGAGGTTCTTTCTTTCTTATTACTCGGACAACTACAAGTCATGCTCGAGTCCATCATGGGGTTATCGGGGACGCTCTATCGAATGAGGGGTATATGTAAAGGTCTCCGCACTACATTACTCTAAAAAATGCCATGTGTCTTACAAAACAGTTCAAGTGTCTATTTCCCATTAATTTTCCTTGAGCGTCTAAAATCGGTTATCCGTTGACACGTGACGCGTCTTGTTGAGACAGGTAATGCATCTTTGTTTTAGACATATAGTGTGTCTTCGTAAGTTGCGCCACGTGTCAACGGATAACCGATTTTAGACGCTCAAGCAAAATTAATACAAAATAGACGCTTGAACTGTCTTATCTAGGTGTCTTAATTTTTTAGAGTGATATAGCCGAGAAATAGAAACTCGTCATTTGATTGGTCAATTTTTCAGCCAATGAGATTTCAGAAGCCTTTTTCTTTCTTATTACTCGGACAACTACAAGTGATATTCGGGTCCATCATGGGGTTATCGGGGACGCTCTATCGAATGAGGGATATATGTGAGGGTCTCGACGCTGCATATCAGCGAGAAACAGAAACTCGTTATTTGATTGGTCATTTGTCGGCGAATATGCTTTAAGGCGACCTTTTCTGTCTTATTATCTGGGCAGGTACTAGTATAACAGTGCTTGAGGACTGAAGGATACCGCTGTAATGGGCTTGACGACCGAAGTGTACCGGTATAGTGCGCCTTGAGGGCCCAAGGGTGCCGCTCTAGTGAGCCTTGAGAACGTATGAGTATTCTGCTAGGGTAGCCCTTGATGACCAATGGATACCTCTATGGAATAGCCATTGAGGATCTATGGATATTCCTATAGGATAGCCCTTGGGTACCTATGGATACCCCTGTAGGATAGCCCTTGAGGACCTTTGGATACCCCTGTAGGATAGCGCTTGGGTACCTATGGATATTCCTATAGGATAGCCCTTGAGAACCTATGGATATCCCTATATCACAGAGTCTGCTAACCTATGGGTATCGTCATAGTATACTATCTTTTGTAACTGTAGGTTCAGTTCATTCGAAAGGAGCCGTTTGAAAAAGTTCAGTTCGTTTCAAAAGAACTGTTCGAGCAGCTCTTTAGTTCGTTTGAATGGAGTTCGTGAACTGAACTGGTCGACCCCTAGTAATAATAACATCATATCCATTTCCATGTTATAATTCAAGTTTTGATATGAATATCAATAAGAAGTAATTAAAACTTGAATTATGAAATGATAATGAATATCATGCTATTAAAATACTATTATCATATAATTCGCTTTATGATTTCTTCGGTAAACATTTAAAAAAAATACGTCTTTACCAAGAAAAATCCAAAACACGAATAAATTTCAAATAAAATCATACATTAGCTACGACAGTTTCTTTTCTGTACATTCAAATCTATATGTCCTTTCAATACACCCGAATCTGTGGCACATGTCAAACGCGAGAGTTGAATTCAATTACTCAAGAATTAAAAGAAAAACTTTCTCCGCGCAATTAACCTTTTATATGTGCGTTGCAGCATCGAGCGCGTAGTCCACCTCCGAAGAGCTGTGACTCCTACTCGTCTCAGAGTACACAGCAAAGTCTGTCCTTATTTTGTTTTGGCACTATTGAAAATGATGTACTAAAGAATAGACGGTAAAAAAAATAGGACGTACAGATTCAGATATAAAGATTCGCACATATATGTAAAACCTCAAGAGAACATATAGAAAGGACATACATCTAAGTGGATCAAGAGAGTTAGAACATTTTTTTTATCGTTTCCAACCGAAACGAAAAACCAGATGGACTCATCTTTATAATTATTGTATCTATGATGATAATTATTCTCATGATGCTATTATTTATTATTTTTATGATTTTATGATTTCATTTATTATCATATATTTCGTGATGATAATACTATTGTTATATCTATATTAATGGAAAAAATTTCATTGACCATGACCGGAAAAAAGGTCTAAAATTTTTGTTTTGGCATAGGATGAATAAATCAAATAAATATATAAATCGGCACTATATTTCTTTTCTTTTTTTTTTATTTATTTTGACCGAATCTCAATATGATAGTAGTTGTTTTGAAATCTATATATCTTTCGATATGATGAAACTAAAAAACATGGCCATTCTCAAGAATGAACACAAATATATTTGATTTTGAGAAAATGGCACTTATTAACGATAACTTATTTGTTTATCGATAATCAACGAATATCGACAAATGGTTCTCGTGAATTAAATGTTCTATAGAAAGTAATTTCATCAAAAATTGCACGTATTTCGATGTAGTAATGATCCAATGAAATGAATGAATAAAAAAAGCAGAATGGATATCTGTCTGGGAAGCTCTTTTGATCATAT